GTCGAATGAGACACATTAGTGTTTACATCTCCGGTCGGTACTGCAACCCATCTCCCTTATGGCCCTCCAGCGAAATTCTCTTTACGTGAAAGGACTTTCGAGACAGTTTATACCGGTGACAATTAGTAAAATTTATAAAGCCTTGCGGTTACTGGACATGTCACCAGGTTTGTAACGCAGCGTCATATATAAGGTAACACGTATAGCTAGGCAACGGATTGGGAAACACATTTCCTAGGTAACACAGGCAGCTATAGAACTTCCCTTACTAGGGTTTGATACATGCAGTGTAATTTGAACCGATTGAAAGCCAATATCCGCGAGAATGAACCGTTCGAAACACAGTAACGGCTAAGAACGCAATAAATCTACTGTTGAAGGAAGTGACTTCTACATGGTTTGCCGAAAAATTATAACGGAAGAGTTTGCTGTCGGTCGTAACATAGTCCCGTGTGGAGGCGGGGTCGAATAGGTCCACAGTGACCCAGCGAGTCGTAGGAGGCGACGAAAATGGAAGTCTCATATCTGAGACAGTAAAATACAGTCGCGAGTCCCAAGGGACACGGACCCGAGAAAGACTGCGCTGACAAGGGACAGTAGCATGTAAAAGAGATAGACCCGTCCTCTCGTCAGAGAGGGCGCCCCCCAAAAAACAAAACCGTAAGGTTCAACAGTAATAAATATCTGGTCACGAGTCCCACGGGGCTTGGACCCGAGAGTGACTGGCGAGGGCCAGCAGCAATTGTAAAAGACAAACATGTCCTCTCGTCAGAGAGAGTGTCCCGCATTAACAAACTCGCAACGGCCTGACAGTAATAAAAACCTGGTCGTAAGCCTCAGATGGGTGCTTTATTCAAAGATAGACGGACCAACTGACCATCGTAACATAAAATTCAGACTTAGAATTCATTCATTCATTTATTCGTTCATTACGGAATTACTTAGTTAGGGACTTATGGAATTAAGGAATTGGACTTGGATTCGTACAGACTTATATCACTGAATTCGCTTCAGGAGCATCAAAGTGTTGAAGTGCTGAAGACTTTAGATGTTATTTTACAGAAATCTTTAGAAATTTTGTAATTATTTGTACTTAGTACTGGTGACTGTCCAATAACTCGATTCATCTAATCCAGAATCCCTTAATTATTAACCACGTAACCAGGAAACATAGCAATATTGAATAAGCAGCTGCGGGCATTCGAAAATGGGTGTTCTTACAATTTTAGCAAGTTACGGAACGTTACACGAGGTATCGATGTAAGTTAGGGATTTCTTGACCAAATTCTCCAGAAGAATTCTGTTCCGTGAAATCATTTACGTACTTAGCTACTGAACTTTCCGATTATGATTACCGATATGGTCCGGGGTAGCTCAGTCAGTATACAGACGGCTACGAGCTGGACGGCTGGATTCGATTCCCGGCAGCGGAAAGAAATTTTCTTCTAATTCACAGCGTTCAAGCCGTCTCTGGGGCCCACCGAGCCTGATATCCAATGGGTACCGGGGGCTTTTACCTTGGGGGTAAAGCGGCAGGAGCGTGAAGTTGGAAATTCACTTCTATCTAGTGACGAGTTCAAGAATAGTGGTGCTATACCTCTACTCCTACCTATGCCTTCAAGGCACAAACACAGGGACAACTTTACCTTTAACTTTTATGACCACCGGTTACAATATGGACCGCTCAGCGACGGTCTTACGCAATAGAGTTATCTGTATGACCTGATGCTTGTACTGTGAGTTAAGACTGAAAAACAGACGCTTTCTTCGCTTGTGTTTGATATGATTCCCGAAGTAAGAATAGTTTGAACTCTGATGAAATGGCATGAGAACTTATTTTGACCGACATTACAAAATATCTCATCATCCCGCTATGTTACTGGTACCGAGGAAGAGTACATTGAGATGGGGCATGTGACTAGCGTGGGGAGACAAGTAAACATTAAAAGCTTCCACTTTATTTTTTTTAATTCGCTTAGTGAGGGGTGGAGTCCTACTGGGTCCACTCGGCACGGCGGCCACTGATTGGCCTATTGTAGTCTAACCCGGGTGATTATGATGATGGAGAACTTGGTGGAATTAAAATTTGCAGGGAAAACCGAAGTACTTGGAGAAAACCCGCCGCAACGCCACTTTTTCCACCACGAATCCCACGTGACCAGACCCGGGATTGAACACTGGCCGCCGCGGTGGGAAGCCAGCGACTAACCGCTTGAGCTATGGCGCGGCCAAGCTTCCACTTGGTAGACCGAGAGGAATATGATAGGAGAACCGGGTGAACAAAAAATCCATGTCTTGTGTGGGATTCGAACCCACGATACCGGCTTCCAAGCGAGCGAATACAGTTCATGTCTTAGACCACTCGGCTACCGAGACGAGCAATGTGATTGATTTGGGATATGTTTTTCTAAGGTGATTACAACACAAACAAGAAAATATGCCCTATTTTATCTTCGAAAATATGCTGTTTTGTGACGTTTACGAATTAAGGTTGGTTGTAAAACAACATATAAATTACAAGTAGATACTAAAGGGTTCTGACGATGGTGGATGACTCACTGAATTAATGGGTTTTTGGACTTTTCCATTGTCCGGAATTCTAGGTAATAGAGGACACGACATTTCGGAAACTGGATCTGTTTCCGTCTTCAGGTGAGAAAGGAAGACATCTACTCTATTATCTAGTGTGTCCTCTATTACCTAGAATTCCGGACGATGGAGAAAGTCCAAAACCCCAGTAATTCTGTGTACACCGTGTTTCAAAATTGAACCACTCCATTCCCCTTCTTCTCTCAAATGCTACTCATTACGAGAGCCGTGCAGAGGGAAGAAGCAGCCCATCGTCGCTGGCTCTATTGCTGTGTTTGCACGCTCCCCGAGAGAGACGTGGGGTATCCAAGCTATGTAGAGGAGCTACAGTGATATGTTGGCCTCAGATAACAATAAAGAAAATTTAATAACAAAATAAATAAAGTACAGATGGGATGGGGATTGCTTCTGGCCAACGGGTGAAACGGTCTACTCCAGATCAGAAGGTTGCGTGTTCAGATCACGTCGGGGTCACCAATGTGGGAGTCGTTGTATGAAGAGAGAACCATTAGTTGAACTGTCCTACAGGATTTACTGCTGCTGCACAGTATACACAGTTCTACCGTTCTACAATTCTAGTTCAGTGTTCAAGCAGTTCACTATTGTTGTTATCCGTCTGTGTATACTGTGCAGCAGCAATAAATCCTATAGGACAGTTCAACTAATGGTTCTCTCTTCATACAACGACTCCCACAGACATAACAAAGAAACACATACTCCTGGCAGAACACGGGGTACAACAACCCAACACACGATTGCTAAGCAATCTCTCGTCACCAGAACTTGCGACGCAAAATAAACCAACTCGCCCCAGTATCCAACTTCCCTTGGGCTTTGAATGGGTTACCCCCTAGCAAACACAAATAATATAGATGCAGGTAAATACAAAATGATAACACGCATCGCAACCGTCCTACCCAACGGCTTGCGATGCGGGCAGTCTTATTTTACCAGCCAGCCAGATGCCAAACCAAATTTTGAAGTAACCCAGCCGAAAGAGAATTTCCAACAACGATCCCTGCTAGCTGGTAATCGTCATCTCCGGTCAATGTTGTCCGACAGACTGCACAGTAAGTCTCTCCTCGTTCTATAAATACTCTGTGTGCCCTCCACTTGGTGCACGGACGTCGAGACGATAGCTGAATTCATCCCAGACTCCTCTCAAAGTGTCGTCTTCCACTGAAGTCACCACTACCGTTATTCTGCTTTTGGGGTCATCCAGCTTAGTCTCTAATGGTGGCAGGAATGCACGATCTTTGATGTATCCCAACAAGAAGTCGCAGGGTGTAATGTCTGGAGAACCTGGGGGTCAAAACTGTAGTGCCAAGTCTTGGGGCGCCATGCGCCCTATCCAATGTTGAAGCAGTGATGCATTTAGGAAATGCGCTGGGAGAGGCATCTGGCGGTAATCTTTTGAAACTCTATCCCTAACCCTTACAAGTGGTAAGAGTTTCTTTAATATGCGGTTTGCGATTGCAGATATATATGTAGCAATTTCAAATCGGGTCCACCATTTTGAAACAGCCTGTATAAATTAGAGTTTGTGTTGAAACAATCTCCAACATACACCCCTAGGCATTACATTCCAAATAATGTAAATTTATTATGTCGGCACTGAATAGATTCAGGATAGAAGCAGCAGGTGTATCTTAGCGAACCGTCTCGCTTATGTCACAGGAAAGGTTAATACGTATTTAAGATTAATGAGTGGATTTCTATCCAAAAGTTTGTACCATCTATCTAAGTCATCGGGTATGTGAATATGGTGCGCGTATGTTTCATTTGTAACTCATTTTCTCGCAATTTTTCTCTCTTCTATTAACATATCGTAGTTCAAATACACTCCACAAAACAGAGTTCTCTCTTTTAGAAGTTTAGGTTGATTCGCTAAGAAGTATATTGTACTGTATTGAAGGAATTGATTTCTGTAGGCCTATAGTTATACAATTTTTAAAACTACTTCATGCAGTGAGGAACTGAGATAACCCAGCTTATATAAAGATGGACTACGGATTTGGAGACCAGAGTTCGATTCTTTGTAGGGAGAACAAATTTTTTCTTTTTCACAGCGTCCAGACCTGCTCTAGGACCTAACCAGCCCCATATCCGAAGAGTGCCAGGGTCTACTTCTTAGAGAAAAAAGCCGCCGGGGCGTGAAGCTGACCCTTCATCTCAATCTAGTGCAGAAATAAAAAATGGTGGAGTTATACCTCCACTCTCCCATAGGAATTCATAGCGTGTTGCTGAATGCACTAAGCCCAGGGACAACTTTACTTTTGTCCCATTATATTTCATATGGCGGGAGGTCACTGTGTGAGATGTTAAGTCGGTATCTCACTGTCTACATTTAGAGATGCGTAGTGTGTGTAGTACACATCCAGTCTACAGTCTAACTTTCCATTGTTATGCAGATTGCTCTTGCGGCTGTGGCTGCAAGACAGACGCCTGGATGTCTGAGTGCGAGGGGTCCATCTTGAGCAGTGGCTTCGCCATGTTCCTTGTCGCGTCGGTGCCAAACACGTCATAAAACAGCAACAGGAAACCCAGGAAGGCGACAGGAGCGACTTCATATATTATCAGTTAGAGGTGACGTAGCAACATGAAGAGCCGTCACCAGTTCCGACGGCGGTTCAGTCTTCAGCCGTCGTTTCTTAAGGAGGAACCTGAAGATGACCGACGCCATCACCACAACAGGTATCGTGTCATGCTGCAACCTGTCTACCACCATCTTTCGGTTGTCTGATCCCTTAATGACTCTATGTCGCTACATGGAGCTGTGCTGTTCTTTAAAGAGCTAATAATGTCTAAGATACATAAGAAATTCTCCGTCTTTTGAGGAATCCATATGATGCTTACATAATTCGCAATAGACTGTCATTAGACCGTGTCCTGAATCAGATTAATCCGGTCCACATCATCAAGCCCTATTGATTTAAGGTCCATTTTTGCATTGTTCTCCAATTTACGATTAAACAGTCTCTTTTAGTCGGGTTTCCCACCGGGAAGTCTGCATCCACTACTTACTTCTATTTAGCATGTTATGCGGTCTGCATAACTGTTACGAGTTTTAACAGTGTTGAAGGAGTTTGCAATGGTGAGTAGATAAGTAGTTGGAAGGCAGCGTCTGTGACATATGTCAGCTAATTCGTATGAAGGATTTGAGGTTCTCACAGCGGTGGTTATGAAGAGTTCTATTTTAAGGGATATAATGTGTGTAGTCCGTTGAAACAGAAGTTTTGGAAGGATATGTCAGGTTCGAGGTGACATAATCCCCCGAAATGTTTTGATTACCAACGGACTGTATGACATTGTATCTCAAAAAGTATAACACTTCAATTCATTCATTTGAAAAGACTAAAGAAGTTTTAATAAATCCTCAACCAGGAAAGTTGGTAAGACTGATGAAATTCGAGCCACATGGCCTCAGTATAGATGTACAGTTTTACCAATCGCACATGCCCGGTCTGTACCTTAAATATCTCAAATTATTAACCATGTTTTATAGAATATGAATACTTTGCTAGCTATAAAGCCTCTGGCTTATGTCGGTAAGTTCCCAATTCGAATACCGAATAGGACCTACAACCACGACTGAGGGGTTCAGTAGCCCTTCATAATGCTTACTTATTTCTTAAAATGGGAGAAATATGTCCTTCCCAACTTCCTACTAGATTCATCTCTTACAATCATCCCTCTGCAGCTCATTCAGTCTTACATCAAATAAATCGTTGATGAATGTTACTAAAATTACTGAAAGAACAAACCAAATAGATCCAAAGTAGATAAGAACACAGTCATCTCTGCTTCTAAGCACCATGTGATGAAGATGTATAGAGGATGTTGTAGTAGAAGTCCAATAGTTCTCCGCTAAAGCCCAAGGTTAAGGAAAACAGTAAGCTTCAAGCTCCATACACCTTTACTTTATGGAGAAATATCCCTATGTATGCATTGATTAAGGGGGAGAGTAGAATACAAGGTCATCATGCACGTAGCGACGACACTAATTCCCAGCAGCCGTTGACCAGTATCTAGCTCCAACTCTCCGGTTCACAACCCGACCTGTTATTTCTCCTTTAATAACAGTGGAGGCAGTACTTTCAAACAAATTACGAATTGTGCAACTATGTCACTGGAAAGCAAGGATGTGAAAAATCTAGCCCATAATTAGCAATAATCTGAACCACAACCGATAAAAGCAGGCGTGCCACAGGGCAGTGTCCTTGGTCCAACTTTATACACTTTATTTACATCTGACCTACCCACTTCCTCAAATATAACTCTTGGAACATTTGCCGATGATAGAGCTATATTGTCAGTTAACAAAGACCCAGAAAAACAGCAACAGACCTTCAACATCACCTTAGATCATTACAAAATTGGTTCGAGAAGTAGCGTATCAAAATAAATGAAAAAACTGCTTGCTACATAAATTTCACCCTACGAGAAAAGCCGACATCTGACATATACACCAATGATATTCAAATACCACGTAAAGCAGAAATAACATACCTAGGTATGATTATAGACAGCAAATTAATATGGAAGCAGCATGTTGTCAAAAAACTAAAGCAAGTAGGCTTAACCATTAAACAGTTAAACTGGCTAATAGGCAAAACATCAAAGCTAACAGTTGAAAATACAGGGTGATTCATATAGAACCGGCCCGACGAAATGAGGTGTAATATAAAATATACCATACAGATATTAAAATAATTTACACATATCTTATCTTGGATTTTGTGCCGCGATCAGAGCAGGTGTTGAAAGTGTCCGCCGTTTTCAAGTAAGCAGTAGAAACACTCGCTGTTCAACAGTATACTCCATGACTGTCGCCTGCGCACTGCAGACACGTTTCGGCATTGTCCTTGACCTTGCAGCATAAGGGCTGCCACTTGCCGGATCATGCGCACACCATTCGACTCAGCACGGCCCACGGATTATTATGTCGTAATTGTGAGCGGTTATATGCATCACCTGCGGAATTATTAGCAAATTCATCGGGCCGGTTCTATACGATTCACCCTGTAAAGTTCTGATCTATAAGACTATAATCATACCTATTTGGACGTACGGCCTGGAATTATGGGGCTGCGCCAGGAAATCTAATAGAGCAATAATCGAAAGAAGCCAATCTAAGATCCTACGAATGATAGTCGACTCACCACGGTATGTCTCCAACGCAAATCTCCACACCGATCTCGGTATATCTCACGTACAAGACGTCATCCAACAAAAAAGCAAAGACATCACAACAAAATCATAACTCACAATGACCCACTTCTAAAGACGCTATCGGCAAGAGAAGACAATAGACGACTCAGACGAAACTGGCCAATTAACCTGATTTGAATTACCGAGGATTCGCCGCCGGACGACTCCTCATCAAGTCAGCTAAACAGCCATAACATAGTTTATAGAATGTGTATTCAGATTGCTGATTAAACAAACAAATAAAAAATAATTGGCAATGTCCTCTGTTAATGACGTATGATCTGAACGGTCGGTCAGGTAAATTTCTGCTGGCTTCGCCAGCACAGTCATCCTTGGTTCGTGTCCCCGCGGGATCCATGACTCTAACTGAGTCCTAAGACTATGAATTGTTGAATCTTCCGCCAATGTTTCTGTAGTATCCAGAAGACTGTCTGCGGTAGAGAATTGTACACTAGCCTGTCGTTCAGAAAAATCTACAATGCAGTTATTGGAAATAACAATACCATTAACGAAATTACTTTGTAACAAAGCTTGCTATAAATTATTAATTATTAATAATTAATTATTAATTGTATTAATATTTCGTACCTTGTGATACCACTTACGTACAGTTTATTATATGCAGAAAGTCATGTTTCCTTCGGTTTCCTTAGCAGTTGATAAGTTGCGCCTTTATGCCGTTTGTAACACTACAAGATTCTTAGGTAAGCATCCATTTTTATCTTTCGTTCACACTGAAGAAAATCAAATGCAACGGAGCTTACGTTAAACAGCGCAGTTCCCTTCTTCATGAAAAATTGTCCTGCTAAAGTGACTGTATGGCCGGTCACGGTAGCCGAGCGGTCTAAGGCATGCACTGTCTTCCCTCGCTCGGAAGCCGGGATCGTGGGTTCGAATCCCACTCAGTGCATGGATGTTTGTGTGCATTTTCTATGTTTGTCTACAGGTAGTGGCCTTGCGACGAGCTGATCACCCGCCCAAGGTGTCCTACCGTATGCGTAAAATCTAGAAAAAACGAAGTGAACGGTGTTCATGGAGGTAGGCCTAGGCCCACTGGAGCTGTAGTGCCAAGGGAAAAAAAAAGTGACTGTATAAATTCAACGTGTAATTTGTAGTTGCTTAGTGACTGTAACAGCACTCACTGCCTCATGGTTCCGATGCTTGACTTATGTGGAAAGGAACTGGGAACGAATTCTTTGTTTCGGAAACCACAGATATGAGGGGAAAAGTAACAATTTTCCAAAATTTCCACCCTAAAATTAACTTCCGTAGTTACACTTATCCGCCATCAATATTAGACTCCGAAACATTTATACAGCCTGATGAATAAGGGAATACGTGAAATGAACATCAATGATATCTGTGTCGTGTGATAACATACAGAGTGTCCCAGGGAGAAAGGTAAATATTTTGGAAGGTCCTAGTATCGGTTATTTAAACAAATAATTGTATATGTACATGTGTCCTATTCCGAACGTTTTCCGAGACAGAGCTATGGGTGTTACCGCCAATATGAAGGAACGTCAAGATGCACTCAGACGAGCAACACGCCATGTCCTCTCACGACTTACTTAGTGCTTGTATATTGATGCTGACGGAGAAATTTTGGGAAAAATATTATATTAGGTAAACTGTACCAACGCCGGTCACGGTAGCCGAGCTCTCTAAGGCATATACTGTCTTCGCTCGCTTGGAAACCGGGATTGTGGGTTCGAATCCCACTCTTGGCATGGACGTTTAGTTTGTGTGTGTGCGTTTTTCTGTGTTTATGTACAGGTAGAGGTCTTGCGACGAGTTGATCACCCGCCCAAGGAGTCCTACCGAATGTGTAAGATCTAGAAAAACCGAAGTGAACGGAGAAGTTCATGTAGGTAGGCCTAGGCCCACTGGGGCTGTAGTGCCAAGGAAAAAAAACTGTACCAACTTCGTCACTTGAAGAATAAATACAGGTGTTAGAAACAATACGAAATTTCTCTTTCTTATCAACAATTTTGGAACTGTACATTGAAATATCTCTATCTCAGAAACCGTTCGGAATAGGGTACATGTACATACACTTTCTTTTTCCTTAGAATGAACGATACTATGACCTCCAAAAATACTGACCTTTCCTTCTAGGACACTCTGTATACTTAAATGCATAATTCTGTGTTGTAACCAAACCTGGTCGCCAAAGTTAATGTCGAGTCACAAGTTGTAGGCATGTTGGTAAAAAATTTGTCTTGTCCATGGCGAAACGAAAGAAACAAGTTACGGGAGGGGGCATAAAGTTCACCAGTCTGCAACAGTAAAACAAAGTGAATTTGTCACTGTAATTAATTAATTAATTAATTAATCACCATACCATGAAAAATTACGGGGAGTGAAAGTGTAACTCCACCACATTTTCCTTCGACACTACATGCAGGTGAGTAGTCAGCTTAATATATCGGCCGATACTACCCCCTGAGAAACAGCCACCGGCAACAGTAGACCTGCGAAACTCGACCTTTTGACAGTAGACTAGCAGATAACACTCTTCTGACGAGAATAACAATTCTGTGAACATTCTTAGGGTTTTTATTGTTTGCAGAGTTTCGCCCTCAAGATCGGAGCGCCACGTGGACACGGAATCATCAGCCAGTGCCCCGTGTCAAGCAAGGCACAAGATCGTGGTGATGGGAGCGGCCAAAGTAGGCAAGTCCTCACTCATCTCCCAGTTTCTGTATGGCACATTCTCACCCAAATACAAACGCACCATCGAAGAGATGCACCAAGGAGACTTCAGCGTAGCTGGTGTCAGTCTCACTCTGGACATCCTCGATACATCAGGAGCTTACGAGTTTCCGGCCATGAGGGCGCTCTCCATTTCGTCGGCTGATGCTTTTATTTTGGTTTATGACGTGAATAATGCTTCAACGTTCGAGGAAGTGAGGACTCTTCGAGACCAGATCCACGAGACTAAAGGTGGAACTGCAGTCCCCATCGTGGTCGTAGGGAATAAGGTCGATCTTGCGGATGAACACAGAGAGGTACGTCATGGCATTTCTACCTTGCACTCTAAAACACAGATAAAGTAATCGCCAAATTCATACATCATTTAAGTATAAATTAATTACACTGCCACGCTGGCTCATTGAAGTGGATTTTCTAAAATATTGTCGAGTGTTGCCTATATAACGCGACAAGAAAATTCACGCGGGTCTCGGATTTGACGAATATATTTATTGGCCAAACTCTTCTACACTTACAAGTACAATAATCTTCCACTTATCTGTTACTATTACTTCTTGCACCGCTGATCTAGGTGAAGTGTCTTGATGCCCTTTGTGGGATTCGGGCTGGCTTCTGCTCTAGTCGGAGGTGCACTAAGAACTCTAAACTCTGACTCATCCAAGTCCAAGTCACATTGCGACTGACGGTCAGTCAGTCTGTCTGTCTTGGTGTCGAGCCCCGGCTGGGGCTAATGACCAGATTTATTTCTTTTTGTTTTTTTCCCCTTATATGAAAGTTACTGTCCTGTCCATTTGGGGCGCCCTCTCTGACGAGAGGACGGGTCTGTCATTTGTCACAGTCCGTATTAGTAAGTAAATTGTCAGTATTTACATATATTTACAAATTTAATCTTAATTCCTATTTCTATGTACAATATATACAAGGCCTCTGTCAATCCAGGCTCGGTACAGCAGATTAAACCCTATTTCTAGTAGTATTCGCTACCACGGCAGTCTAGTCACTTGAACGGTCGTATGCCTGACCGCCGCCAAGTTTAAGCCTCTTATACTTTCTGTGTCGGGCTTCACTTTGTCCGATGTTGCGAACATTCTCATTTTCATGATTTTGTATGACTTCTGCTTATTTCCTGTCAAAGTCAAAGTTACATTGCGACTGACGGTCAGTCAGTGAGTCTTTGTGTCGAGCCCCATGAAAAGATATCAATTATTACCGTTTGGCAGTTACCTCTTGCTTCTGTGGAGCGACTTCTCTGACGAGAGGACCGGTCTGCCTTTTGTATATGCTAATGGCCCTTGCCAGTACAGTCTTTCTAGGGTTCGAGTCCCTTGGGACTTGCGACCATATTTTACTGTCTCAGATTTTAGACTTCCCTTTTCGTCGCCTCCTACGACTCTCAGGGTCACGGTGGAGGTATTAGACCCCGCCTCCACACGGGGTTTGTTTCCTGCACAAACTCATCTCTTTAAAGCTAGACTTTTATAACTTACACGCGAACTCAATAGAGAATATCTTGTCGAAAGGTTAATCTCGGCCGCTGCTATGCAAAACCTGATTTATATACTTTCTGTGAAAATATTATCACGTGTATTAGTGACTGTAGACGGGATTGGTTGATTGGATTTATTAACACCTTATACAATGAACTTGAACTTACAAGCAAAAACGCTCTCGCTGATTTACACAATTTACAGTTCACCGTTACACACGCACTAGGATTATCAACCTTCACTTGTCGTATCCTGGTAACGGAATTAAATGAGTCTCACTGTGATTAATCTTCTAGACATACATTAATTCTTCACAGGCTGACTTCTAGTTGTTCTTCAACTGCTAATTTCCCGTACCCATATCCTACTGACAACTGAACTTAATAAACAATTCCAATTCCATAATCTAATTCTCTAATCTACTTCCAGGTCAGGTCAGGTCAGGTCATGTTACAACTGACGGTCAGTCAGTCTGTCGGTCTTGGTGTCGAGCCCCAGCTGGGGCTCATGACCAGATATTTCTTTTGAATGAAAGTTACTGTCCTGTCTATGTGTAGCGCCCTCTCTGACGAGAGGTCGGGTCTGTCATTTGTTAGTCAGTCTGTATTAATAAGTCCATTGTCTGTATTTACAGCTACATACAGTCTCTCGTTATGTACCCGGGTCGGACCTGAAGGAAAACACGGGCTAGTGAACACGAGGTCTGACATATGACACGTGTCTTCCTTCATGTCCCACATAGAAAACGCTTCATCTATATTGTTGGCCGCGTGTATCGCGCGTTGCATAGCAACGGTCGCCGCGCGGACGTCAGAAAATATCGCTTCTGTATTGTAGGACGCGTGTGTGTTGCAGGCGTTGCCCAGCAATGGGTCTATGAGTAGAACACTTTGTAGAACCCGGTGATATGTGGAAACTAATGGACAGGGTCACGAATCGACCCGGGGAAATAGACATGGCATCAGCGGACAGAGGGTCGGATGGGTCCCAGAGCATCTGTAGAACAGACGGTACGTGTGCTCATGTCAAAGAAATCGAAACCAGTCCGTACTGATGATAGCTATAATCATACCACTGAGCTAGCCAACACACGTGGTTAGGCCTGCTGACTAAAGAAAAGCCCGGTGAAGCATGAGTGGGAACTTTGGGAGGATGAGAAGCAAAATAAGTACTCCAATTTTAAAATTAATAGAACTTATTTTAATTTACATACACCTCGCCTCTGTTTTCCTCAGCGCAGTGGGCTGACTTCTGTCACCTCGCAGGAATGACGATTTTCATAAAAGGCAGTTTCTATTAACAGTCACTTTGCCACAGAATATAAAGGATTTTTTTTTATTTTAAAACTTCCAATAACACTTCCTAAACGTCATGAATAAAATATAAAGACTATGTAGGCAGACTACATCAATATTTATTTTTGAACGTTCGTGGGTCGAAAATTACATTATACCGTGCACTAACATTAACATTCTTTGCATTATTCAAATTCAGGCTACACAAAGAAGAGTTTGAAATATCTTCATTTTCTCCATACATCCAGGGATCTAATGCTCTCATACCATCCTTCTAAGTAGATGATATCACGAGGTATCTAAGCATACATTATGGAAAATGACCAGCAGATGGCAAAGGTTACTAAGTTCCCCTTTCGCTACATAAGCACACTCACGTGACCATCTCAACTTCTATATAAAAAGTATTCACAGTAACTGAAAGAATATTGTTTTTGTGAACACGGTAATGAATTTCCGGGTTCCATAAAATGCTGAGAAATTCTTGAGTAGCTGCAGAATTGGCGGCTCCTCAAGAAGGGTTCAGTTCCATGAGTAAGTAAGTAAGTAAGTAAGTAAGTAACTGAAAAATATTAAAATCGTCACATAATTCTTGCTCACTTCTTCTTAATCCCTAAATAGCATTTAATTTGGTGAGTGATACCCTCATTGATGGACTTGTTTATGTGGCAAGAGATGTTTGTATATAGAAAATAATTAATATGGCATTACATGGAAATCTCCAAACTTTGCACCTAAATTTTACATTTTTAAATAAAAATACTGTTGCGTGTCTAGTGAGTAGACAGGGGGTTTGGATTGGTAATTGGAATCATACCAACCCTGACTACATTTTATTATAACGCTATCTTGAATTCATGCACCATACATTTACTATAACACTCACTATGTCTTATAGTCTGCTGTATCTTCACCAGTCGTCGCCTGGTAACGGCTCTCACAACAATGTACATTCCTCAGCTTCCGTGTCACTTCCTTACCGGCTGCCGACTATCTCGCAGCTCCTCCTGACCACAGATCCTGGCGTTTGAATCCTAGCTACGTCTGGCCACCATCGGCTACCAATCGCTATTGCTGGCTGCCACTCGCTGTCGCTGGCTAACACTCTCTATCACTGGCTAACTCACTTTCGCTGGCTGCCACTCGCTGTCGCTGGCTAACTCACTTTCGCTGGCTACCAATCGCTATCGCTGGCCGCCACTCGCTGTCGCTGGCTAACACTTCCGAATCGTCTGATCTTCTGTTTTGCCAGTCGGTCGGTTAAAATTGCTGCTAACCTTCGCCAGCTCAGTCATTCTTGGCTTCAGTTTCCTCGATATCCGTGACTAAGAATTCTGCCTGTCTTGCCATCAAGATCAAAGTCAAAGTCATGTTACGGCCGACGGTCAGTCGGCCAGTCTGTCTTACAATTAGGCGACTGTCCCATAACTAACTCATTGTTCTGTCCTGCTTGTTACGCCTCGGCACGGACCTCACAGGAAACGCCTTTTTCGTTGCTGTATTCAGTGTTGGTTCGTGTCTGTTTGGATGCCCACATGATCGCTACTCAGCCATTGACTAGAAACTGATGTTGTTTACAGTGCCATTAGTTAGAAACGGCTCTTTTATAACTGCTCATCTCGCGGTCGTTGCCTAGCAACAGGTCTACATGCCACAATATTTTCTTTATCTGTGTGATTATTTTATGCATAGTCGACAAAGAATATATCATAGAAAGTGATGTGCAGACATCAGTGTTTATAGACAGACGGCGCCAATAAAATGTTTCGTGTTTCAGGTTGACTTGGAGACGACAGAATCGGTTGTTACAGTGGACTGGGAGAATGGTTTTGTAGAAGCCTCTGCCAAGGAAAACACAAATGTATCACAGGTTTTCAAGGAACTGCTGGCACAAGCCAAAGTGAAATATAACCTTAGTCCAGCACTTCGTAAGAGACGTAGGCAGTCCCTTCCGCGACACTCGATATCGGAAGGTTCTGCCTCGACATCCACGAACTCCTCGGCGATACCCTCGCCCGCACAGTTGCAGCACCTGCAGCAGATCCAACAACGGCAGGCTGGGGGCAAGAGGAACTCATGCATTCTCTCATAAAGTTAACTGAGAGCCCGCAGCCTATCTCACATTGCCGCAACAACATTAAACACTAACATGAACATTCTCAACAATCCAGAATTACGCATTACACCACACAAAGAAAGCAAAAAATATATATCTGCTTATAAATCTATATAAGAGAAAAATAATACATATAAAACTGAATGGGTTCTTTCATCTTATAGGTAAAGTAGAAGAGTGTTTATTGAATCGCTAGTCAATTGTTATCTAATGATGAGTTCCAGCTTCAAGTCGAGATCGGCAAATATGTCGACAAATTCCGTTGCTCCCTTGTGCATGAGAGCCACTAAGTCATACTCTCATTCTGCGCACAGGGATCTGAGGATATCCAGAATTTATTACATTTTGCACACCTACAACACTGAAGACCGTTATTTTCTCCAATTCTGTAATCTCCATCATCAGTGAAATATTCCTGTAGGGGGAAATTACATGTTACACACTCAACGGATATCACTTACTATTGGGAAATTGGCCACTATTCGCTGTAAACACGTTACAAACTTCGGTAGTACATCGGAAGTCCCTTGTGTTCTCTTTAGAGATACTAGAGGTACTGAAATTTTTATTTTTGTGAATGTCGGTTGGTTATATCTTTATTTGTATTCAAAACTGAAAAAAGTTTAAACATTATATATTTTACTGTGGCCCATTTGTAAGGAGGTTCTGCATTGTCGTTAAAGCCAACTGGGTTTTATATCTGAATCAGTAAATTAGTGGCAGGAATTCTAGACAGTAAAAAGAACTTTCTAGGCTTTCGAATTACACCCAGCTTTCACATGAGACATCTGTGGTTAGCGCTTTAATCTTATAATTGGATGTCCCGTTCTCCTGGGTTCGATGGTGGCAGTTGTCGAGAACTATCCTCCCACATCCGCCGCTGTTGCAGCTGCACGGATTGCTATGGGGTTAGCTGACTGATTCACAGAGCCCCAGCAGAGCTGGTCACTACTGACTAGCGCAGAGATGTATATCTATACATCCAGAAGTGAACGAAGAATATTCTTGGGACAAAAGACTGTATGGGATAAATCTTATTATGAGGTGAACAAAGGTAAACAAGGGGTGGAGGAATTGTCGTGTAAGTCGATCCAAATTTTTTACGATTCAAGTACAACAATTTTAATATATCTTGGTAGATGCAAGCTATATTTGTTTGTCACCATAAGGCCCAACATTGGATTCAGGATAGCTCAGTCGTTATAGTGAAGGACTACGAGCTGGACGGCCAGGGTTCGAATCCAGGCATAGACAAAAATTTTCTCTTCTCCGGACTGATTCTGGGGTTCACTCAGCGGCTATCCAGTGGGTACCGGAGGATCTTTCCTCGGACGTGAAGCTGACCACACACCTCCGTCTAGTACCGAGATCAAGGAAGGTAGAGCAAACACCCCTACGCTTTATATGTCTTCATGACATAGTGCTTGCTTAATTAAACACAGAAATAATTTTGCTTTGTTGTCAAGACCTGACAATACGGATGAACCCTGACAGTATACGCTACGGTAAAGTCCTGTGCATTTCAACTTGAGAGCAATCACAGAGGTGATAAGTTACTCGTTTCAGTGTTGCAATTTTGTTTGTTTCCATTTTCCACATCCAGCAGAACACCCAGTTGGTCATCTCGTTATACGCATCGTAACGAGAGCACATAGAGCTTGGATGGGGGCTTATCCTTCGCAGAGAGAGGCGTCACTTTTTAATGAGAACGACGTAATGGAAATGGACGTTAAAATGAGACTCATACATTGGCAACTGACACACAGTTTCTGACTTGTAAAAGCAACTAGGCTATCTAAATTTAAATTTCGTAGATTAATCATTACTAAGGGGATTCAGAAGAAATTTCACTTTTGTGCTTCAAACATTATACTCTGAGTCATGTTAACAAGAAGTTCACATTACATTAAACCTTATACACTTATGTTCCTATCTATTTTAATGCGACTGAAACCATTATATAAATTTTCCAATATCTAAACCGACATTTTACTAATCGCCACAGACATATTCCCTTAAAATTAGATGAAAAGAGCGTCTTCGTTTCACTTGACAGTACGCCTAATCTTTCATAATATTGTCACGAGTCCGGGGTTTCGTGATAATTAATGGATTACGGATTTGGGGAAGCTGTTTATTGGAGAATTACGCCAGGTGGAACTACAGACAATTATAACACTTCGTAACTGCAAACAATGATCACACTCTAGTGTTCCTTGTAACTACGCCACACGAAGTCTTCTGTGGGTTCTCCTCTTACTTCTGTTCTGATCTTGTCTTTCTTCTGGTTATCTCCGCTCCTGTCTGATCTGATCCTCACTTCTCTCTCTCTCTGTTCACGAACTCATCCGGTTTTATAACTGCTTGTCGTACCGACTAGGGGACACTATCTCTAAGGGTTCATATTTCGCGCTTTCCGATTAAACGGTCTCCAGTATATTGGTTTGCTTATTATTTTGAAGTTAGAATATGTATGTCGACTTGGAAGGATTCTGACGATTGTGTATGCTGTACAAACTATTAGTCTTATTTTGGACTCTATCCATCTTCTGGTATATACGAGTATAAGACAAAAGACCACAACGTTTCGGAGACTGGATCTGTCTCCGTCCTCAGGTGGATGGGGCAGGATAGACCTACTCAATTAGGTCCAAATGAGATATACGTGGTAGAGTCATTAGGTTCGTGGAATGTGGTTTTATCGCATCATATTACAAGGTGTTCACTTACACTTATGCAGATCCACATCGGCCCTCAAAATAGTTACCGTTGGCCGCTATGCAAATCTGCCAACGTTGATATAGCTGTCGAAAACATTGCTGAAACATATTGGCAGTAAATTCCCGTACGACGCTTTATGGCCATTCCATTAACTTATTGACTGTAGTAGTATATTGTCACTTTAACTTATTGTAATACGTAGGTCGTACCGAAAGTCATGAGCAACTTCTTTTTGCGTGCAACCTGGGAACAGCAGACGAAAGAGAGTACAAATGAATTGAAAGATTAATTAAGAAAAACTTAAACAGAAAAAGTGTAGCAAAGCGACACGATTTTGTGTATTGAAGCAAACAGTAACTTTAAGCTTAACTAGACCGAAGCCGTATCAAAATATCAAATTTTGTAATATAATTTTTGGAACATATTTCCAGCGTAGGCAGGCGAGTCGAAGAGATTAGTACGCTTACACCATCTAGTGAGCCGGCTACAAATCATATCCATTTTTAATGTTCAATAAATCAGCACAAGAAATTCAAATTAATTCTCTAATCTTATCTATGCTAAGTTGTGTTTTCCTAATTTATGATGTATAAGCTGTGATTATCAAATAAGATAGAAGTGATTATAACAATCTTGTTCAATTCTCTACCTTTTTAATGGGACACGCGTTAGCGTAGTTGATTCTTATATTGGAGTTATGTTTTAATTAAAGATTTCTGATTATAAAACATTCTTATTGTCTCAACATCTCTAATAAATTCACAATTATACATAGCCATATTTTATCCGTTCTATCCGGGTCCGTTATAAAGGGGTTTTACTGTACGAGTATGCACTTTGTCTAAAGATTCTCATACGATTCCACTTTTATGGAAAATACACGTCATTAGGAAGGCGGCTTCTAGGCCGTGCCATAGCTTGGGTGGTTAGTCACCGGCTTCCCAAAGCGGCGGTCCGGGATCGAGCCCAAGTCAGGTCTTGTGGGATTTGTGGTGGACAATGTGGCACTGGGGCAGGTCCCCCCCCCCGAGTACTTCGGTTTCCCCTGCCAATTCTCATTCCACCGACTGCTCCACACTCATCATCATCTATCATCCGGGTCTGGTACAATATACTAATTAGTGGCCGACGTACCAAGTGGACTCAGTCTCACGCCACCCCATTAAACAAAAAAGGCGGCTTCCTTCTAGGTCACCGAAACTTAGAAGTCCGCGGCAAAGTTACTGGAGAACAAGTGCATGGCAATGGGACGGTGTGACCTTGGAACGTGACGACAAAAGTATATCCATACTAGAGATAACATTGCAGTCACGTCAACACTGGGCACGAGGCACCAGGCACCAGGCACTGAAGAAATACGAGTAGTTTATTCTGCATAGGAAAATGAAAATGGATTTAATTAAATTCATCAGCATATATTACAAGAGATAAAAGGATGTGATAGGATGGGTAAATTATCAGTTTAACAACGAGATAAAAAAGTTGAAGCTATTCTCTTAACAGGCCATGGAGGCCCATAGGGTTGTGAGAGTTCAAGGCTCCCACGTTTTCTAGACAACTGGTTCACAGATGGAGGTGAGGTTGTCACCTTTACGCGCCAGCCGCCCTTCTCCAGGAAGATTCCTGGTACTCATTTGTTAGAGGCTGAGTCGATTTTATGGCCATAGTGCGGCTGGAAGGATTAGGTCAATTGAAACACCCAATGACCTCATCGGGAATCGAACCCTCGACCTTCCGGCTTGTAACATAGTCCCTCAACCAACTGCGCTACCGCGTGCCCCCAACAGTGAGCTCAGTCGATATGGCTTTTACGCTACGGACTGGATGACTGGAGTTTGATTCCTACCAGAGGCAAAAGATTTTTCTTTTTTTTTTTTAACGTCCGGACCGGATCTGGGACCACGCCCAGCCTCCTATCTCCTGACTACCGGGGATAAAACGGCCAGAGAATGAAGCTATCGCCTTAATTAGTCAATTCTTAAAGTTAAGAAACAAAGGAGTTCAGTAGTTCAGTTATAGGACGTTCATTTAAAAATACACATCAAATGGTGAAATACGTGGATTATCCATGCTAATGTTGCGAGCACTGTTAAGGCAATTGAAAACCTACGTGTACAATGTAGGAGAACGTCCCGTGTCTTCTTGTCACAGAAAGTCCGTGATATGAAGTATCTACTAAGCTGCAATACCGAATATTGAACACAGCGTTTCATAATTAATTGCTGTCAAATTCCATATACAAGAGAGAGAGAGAGAGAGAGAGCTAAGAAAACTATTACTATGAAAATTACTGTAATAATGCCTGAAAATTACGTAATCTAAAAGAAATGACAAATTTTGTGTAACTCTGTCAGTGCAGAATTATATGCAGTCTTACAAATCCAGTCAATATAAAAGTTGAGATCGGAAGTGTCAATAATTCTACAGTTATGGTTATAAATGTATAATTTCCTTTATACATTATATTTGAAAACGTGTTTGTTTTCTTGTAAGCATACATTTACGCATAACTGTGATTACGAACACCTTCTTCATATTCTCGACATGAAGATCTGCAAGTTGGAAGAGACTATGAAGGAATTGTAAATCGAAAGTTAAGAATGTTTCAAGTCTCCTCGTTTCTTCCTGCAATACATTCATTCATACTCCTCAGAAACCCTACAGAAAATATTCAATGTTGCTTGGCGGAGAAACAGTACCAACAAATATTTCGTTTTGTGTATATTCTTCAAAGTGTCACGACGTTACAGCTAGAAGCTAAGCTCCAAGTTGATTGTGTCAGAGTTTTATGATGTGACTTATCACGCTGAAAATAACAGAACAATTCTCTGAACTCAGTTCTGAAAATCAGTGAAACCAAACTCATTAAAATGGGACTCATGGAGAGACTACGTTAAGAATATCACATGGTAGTGACTTATGTTCTATACACAAGAGGAACAATATTTCGGATAAGTAATATACGGAAATGATCTCAATTTTCAACATAAATTTTAAGGCCTCATACCTGAAGTAAAATGTAACTCATCACGAATATCTCAATGTCAATAGGCCGTAAAAAGTAGATCAGTGAATTGTACCGAATTTCTCAAATAATTCTGTTTTTGTTTGTACATCTGTGTTATCTGTTGAATAATTAGTACAGTTTCTTAGAATCAAAGAATGGTGGATTTTCGAGTACAAAAATATTCGTTAGACGTCCATAAGAATGAAATATTTCTCTACTTCTTATGAGACGTTATATGTATATGAAGAACATGGCTGCTTATTGTAAGGTTATGTGTCCTCGTAGTCAGTCTACAGGTAAATCAGTAAATAAATTACATTGCAATCACGTCAAATAGGTATTATTGTCCTGCAAATTTGTACTTCAAATATCCCAGTATCGCTTCTTTTGGAAAGAATATATGCATACGTGTATAATTATCTAATTCTATGAAATAACTTTTTGTATTATTTTCATTACATTATTTTGTGTATATATGGAAGGGTTTTGTTTAGAAATTCTACTCCATGTATACGTTTGG